CCCTTGAAGACGATTGAATTACTGATTTGTGCCCAAGCAATTTACTCTTTCCTTGTTGTGGAATGAAATCCTCATAATTCTTTCTTTTATGTGGTATTGGTGCCTGCTCTTTCTTAGCTCTATCATTGCGTTCATTTGCAAGTTGTTCTCTCTTAATCTTGAATTTGTTGGCCAATTCAGCACTTGATCGGTATTGCATATCAACATCCAGATTCTTGAATGGACTTTGAGCTTTGTTTGGATTTGGACCCTTTTTCTTTAGTATTGTTGATTGATTCATTCTTCTCGCTTTGTTATAATCTCTTTGATTTCTTTTCGTGTGGTAAGTAAACCTACATATTGCAGCAGCTGAGTTTCCAGAACTTCCAGCACTATACATACTCTAAACTGAGTCTATAAGCTGTACATACACAATATCCCCGAAGCCACAACTAAACTAATCTTATAACCTGTACAACCATTCAGAATACTTTACCTAGAGCCACAATTTTATATATAAATACTTTACCTTCTTACCAGCTATACCAAACATAAAATTACTTAACCAAATCATATCAACTAAAAGCATTGTGAAACAACCAAACAGGCTCATTTTCTGTGCACAGTGTTCCACCATCTCATCACCATGTATTTAAGAGGAATAATAAATCCTTTTTGGATACCCAGGGAAACAACAAAGAACCCCCAGACCTTTCTGGCAAAACTTCCAGAGTTGAAAATATGTTCAATAGTGTCATGTTCAGGGAAATTACAGCAAAAACATTCTGCAGGGTCAACTCCAACTGGACAGCTTCTCATTACTTAAATTACTTAAAGGCAAATAGTTGTACCTTTCTTGGAGCAACGAACTCGGGATTGCGACAAAACCAGAAACGACTTCAAACTGCAGAGCTCACTGTTCTGCCTATAATGCCTACTGCCTGATAATAAAAGGAAACAAATAAGTATATAAATAACAAACAGCAAAATAAAACAATATTCATCTAGAAGTACAGGTTCCTCATTTAATCTCTTTGATTTCTTTCCTTGTGGTAAGTAAACCTACAAAATAAAAGGTTATTTAAGTGAAAGAAGTAGCAGCAATATAATTTTGATATAAGGTTGATAGATGGATAGTTTATTAATTTGAAACATTGTCCTTCCTATGTCTTGTGCATCTGCAGAACTCACAAACCAACTCTTTCCAGAATTTCCAACTCTATAGAAGTTATAGAAAGCTCAACTCTATTCAGAATTTCCAGCACTATATTATAGCAGATTGCAGCAGCTGAGTTTCCAAAATTTCCAGCACTGTATAATATTGCAGCAGTTGAGTTTCCAGAACTTCCAGCACTATATATACTGTAAACGAGTTCAAACTGCAGAGCTCACTGTTCTGCCTCTAATACCTACTGCCTGATAATAAAAGGAAACAAATAAGTATATAAATAACAAACAGCAAAATAAAACAATATTCAGCTAGAAGTACAGGTTCATCAATAAAATAATAATCAGATAAGAAGCCAACATAAATTACTTACCCAAACAACAATTGGGCGCATGAAAAAAACCAACAGAATACTTCAACATTGTAGCGATCTAATCTTCAATTCCACATATCACATATCTTAATGTGTTTGTACCAAAAAAACAATTAATTTACAAAAACAGTAAGTGAGCACTATATGGTCATCACAAAAATAATGAAACTCATGGTGCGTCATCTTCAAACTCTTCTTCAGACTCATCTTCAAACTCATCTTCATACTCATTTTCAGACTCATCTTCATACTCATTTTCAGACTCGTCTTCAAGCTCATCTATAGATTCATCTTCAAACTCCTCTTCATACTCGACTTCAAGTTGTTGAGTAACAAATTCCTCCGAAGGCACATCGAATAAGTTGTTTCTGGTACATCAGTCCTTGTTAAGAGTATTTCACCATTATATTTTGGTATAGATGGTCCCATCAAATGTTCAGATGGCTCGTTTTCATAACTTTGTGGGAGATTAGATTCAACTTCATCACCCATGTTAAACAAGTCTCTTGGAACAGTCTTCATAACATAATGTCTATCTTGATCATATGGATCTTGCACATAGAAGCATTGGTGTACTTGAGATCCAAGCACAAAAGGCTCTTCCTGAGAGCATCTCTTGTTAAAATAGACATAAGTAAGGCCATAAGCATCATTTTCAACCTCATACCAATCGCACTTAAATAGAACAACCTTAAAATGACCGTAATAGTCTAATTCAACAATATCAACTATTCTGCCATAATAAGTCAAATCTGCAGCAATCG